CCACGTAACCATTTGTTCTTGACATGTCTTGCTTTAAAAGTCACTGTAGTGAGTAGTATTTTGACTAACACATCTAGATGTATCAGAAATTCTAAAAAACATGATTATCGAATTATATTTTTCTCTTTGAACAGATCATTCGACATGAAAATAGTTGTTTTTTAACTGTTCTTCCCAATAGTGCCCTAATATATGTAGTAGACTTGTTTAGCAAGGTTTTTTGATTTGTAGACTTTTGTGAAATCAATTCATTAATCATAAGTAATAAGCAAACATTTTGTTAAATTAGTGATTATTAAAACGTAAGTTTTGGTGCATGGGGAGGGATAAAATTTCTGAAGTGTTCCATCGTATTGTAGGAAACAAATTTTAGAATACTAGACATTAGCCACTGTCGTCTTGGTATGTAACGAGATTATTCTAGAGAAATATACTCTTCATGATTAATACAACTGTATCTCATGGTACCTTTATAGATAATGGCAACAACTTGAACTATTGATTTTTGTTTTCCTTTCTTTGAAATGCAGCCTTCACAAAGCAGAGATTCATTGCTAGAAGATGAGACCATTGCTAAGGAACTGCAGTTAGAGGAAGATTCAGAGGTAAACTTTGTAAACACATTGTCCTGGCTCTCTGCCCCCTAAATTGATGAATCTTCTTTAAAAGCCTTTGCTTGACAACAAAATAGCTGGGTTGTGATTTGTGTTGAGCAATTCCGTGAATTTGCTGCTGTAGTGGCTTGGAAAGGGAAAACCGATTTTATGTCGTCTTAAAAAATATATTTCAATAATAAAGTTCATATATGTGAGGTTATTTTGTGCATATTTTAGTATTGTGAATGTAGCCATATCTACCCTAATCTCTGCCTCCCTACATCCCTCCCCCACACCCTTTATCTGTCGCTATTCACCCCTCCCTTTCAAATCTGATCTTCATTCCCACTCCCTTATATATCTCTCTCTCTCTCTAATGCATACTCCATCTCAAAAGAGATCACTGCCATCCATGACCATTTCATTTGATCTCTTGATCTCCATGCACTCCTGGAAATCTATAGCATTCTTACGCCTGGGTACCGTATTTAACTTTATAAACGCCAGATGAATCTGTTTATATTGGGGGAACGCATACCTGTCAAAATGTGTGCTTGTTTTCTTCTTTGAAGGGAAGATTGGCTGGAAATGTGTAATGCATAAGCATCATGTGAAGTAAATGTTTTATAATTTAGATACATTTAAAAAGAACATATCCTCTTTGACCTTGCCAGAAACTAATATTCTAATAGGGTTAACTTTTGATATGAAATAAATAGTCTGTTTTAGGAAAAAACACGCACATTTTCTTTAAATTCCTAATACTTCTAGCACCACCACTCCCTTACACAAGACAGAGATGCTCTGCTGATACAATTTGTGTATCTTTGCCTTAAATGTCTTATTTACATTGATGATACTGTTGTCTGTCTTTTTTTTTCTTCTTTCTGCTGGAAGCAGGGAAGATAGATGCCATTCATCAGCTTCAGAGTACTACCGGTGTTATGGTTACATAGAAAATAGTCCCTGTGGTATACTTGGACTTATGAAGTCATCTATTTGAATCAGGCAGGAAGGGCATGTTTGATCTTACATTAGGACAGTTTACTTGCTGTTGTAAAAGGATTTGATTTGTAATGTGGAATACAGCCATTATCAATAAACACCTTAGTCAGGAAGAACAAATTTTTGCCCTAAGGCACAATATTAAATGATAATATGGTAACGAGGATGCCTGTCACTGTTGTAGATGTTGCATTAGGTTTTCCTTCATTTGTTCCTAACTAGGCTTTGTTTTTATTTGGCACAAGGTAATAAGTAATTGCAAATGGAATTTGAGGACATGCGTGGACCTGGACTTTTTTTTTTTTTTTTACTGGAGGAAATCCATTTTGTTGAAATTGCTATTTATATTTTTCAGCTGGACTTGCATCTGTCTAATATGTCAGACAGTTGCTAAAATGCATTGAAAGCAAGAGCCAGGCAAGGGTTGGGCTATATTTGTAAAAATCTGCTCTCTTGAAATAAGAAAACTGGCATTAAGATGACCACTTTCATTGTGGGGATGTGCTAATAGAGAACAGGCTTTGTTTCTGACACCAATTCTGAAAGAGGATCTCTGAAATCAGCAGGGAGCTCCCCAGTAACAGGTTGTGAGTAGTGAGATCCTGACTTCCTTTCAGATTTTAGTTGTGTAATGCATTAACAAGGTTGTTCCACAATAAAAGTATTCGAAGAGACAGCAAGTTTTGTTGTTAATGGGATTGCACAATTCTATTCCTCTATATCTAGGTAGCTCGTCTCTTTGTATAGTGGGGTTTGTTGCATTACAAATATCCTTTCACTGAGTTGAATACTGTCGCTGCACTTGGGGAAAACAAGTAATTTTGTAGCATTTTGTAAAAATCCAATGCAGCAGGATTTCCTCTTGGTGGGGTATTTGATTAAAACTGCATATTGTCGTGGTCCATGTGGTCAGTGAACTTTTGATCTTGAACAACAGGCAGTGGCATTTTATACAACCCATCTTTAGTTTAATTCTGTTGACAAAACCTGGATATTCTCTTTTCTTCACAGCTAGAGAGACAGCTGCATGAGGATGAAGAATTTGCCAGAACTCTGGCCCTGTTGGATGAAACACCAAAGAAAAAAAAGGTTAATTATTTTATAAGCTTTGTTTTAAAAATGAAAATAATATTTTTAAAACTAAAATGTTTTTGTGACTCTGGATTGCATTGTATTTTTTTGTTTTAAAAAAACCCACTACATCTTTTGTCCATGTATGTATTTTACAGAGATCCATGGGGAGGCATTCTTGAAAGAAACATTAGGTTGTGGGATTGAAAAGGTCATGCCCACTTTTCCTTTCTCTTGACTTGTTCTTCTCCCCCTCAATAAGCACCGTCCTCTCTTAGTATCAGCAGATGTGTTGCTTTTTATCCTTGTAGTTGAGTGGGTTGTCTGCTTCCTTTGAAACTGTTACTGTGCTCTGTTGGCGGCTAGAAAGTGCATCAGAACAAGTCTCCTTACTAGCCCCTTCACTGATAGAGTTCTTGACCTATGTCACAATTGTAGCTTTTCACATTGCTGTCTAGCATGCTAACGCTGAGACTTATCCCAAGATTAAAGTGTAAATCAGGTGATAATCATATGATCTCACTTCGTATTTCTGACAAAATATGATTTAATAAATAGTACTTTACTGGAAAAGAAAATTGGACAACTAGCAGTTCATTAGTGCCCTCTGTATCTCTTCAGAATTAGAAATCTATCCAGTGTAACTCATCATTGAGTTGTCTTCTTTTATATTTGTAGTTGTGCGGGATCCCTTTGTATAGTTTTACTGTTAAGAGGATATCAAAACTTAGGCTGTGTCTACACTTAGACCACTGCGCTGCTATAGCGTTTCAGTGCAGACCCTCACTACAGTGACGGGAGCAATTCTCTCGTCATTATGGTAAATTTGTCTCTCCTAGGGGCAGTAGCTAGGTCAAAGAAGGAATTCTTCCTTTGACCTAGTGCTGTCTACAGGGGGTTAGATCAGCTCAACTACTTTGCTCAGGGCTGTGGATTTTTCACAGCCCCAAGTGACGTAGACCTGGCCTTAGTTTTGAAACTGATTTTGTGAAGTTGCAGTTTTGCAGTTTGTAGTTGATTGAGATTCACACTAAAATGTGATGCAGGAGAAGGTTAAAATAATGAAGACCGAAGTGGTTCATGTGGAATTTTTTTTTGTATTTAATCTGAAGTTATATTGATGCTTTGAATAACGTGGTCTATAGGCAATAATGTAACAAAATCTTATCAATATAGAAATGGAATCTTACAACAGAGGACTGAATGGTTTAGGTTCTGTGTATCTTATTACGAGTTTCCTGTCACATGTAGGTCCCCATTTTAAATTCAGCCCAGATTGGTAGGCTGTTTGGCGATTTAGTACTTGAGGTGAAATTGAGTTGCTGATCTAAAGTGAGGGTCCACATCACAGAACCACCACCTTATTTGTTACTGACTAGCATGAGTGTTGGCAATCTCAACAGAGAAGCCAAGGATTAATTGGACATAGAAAATGAAATTGTCTCTCACCCCTAAAGGTGTGGGCCCTCTGCTTTAGTATACCTGGTAAGTGAATATCTGGCATTGCCCACCAGTGTTAAAACATACACAAAAACAGGATTGTAAAATCTGCAAATCTTATTTATTTTGAAACAAATTACACATTCAAACTGAAAATAGGCCAGATGTAAATCAGAAAGAGGACACCTACCCATGCTTTAGGGTACATGGGATTATTGCCTTTAAGCTAGTTAGCAGTAATCATCTTTGAAGTTAATAAATGAAAGCACAAAGTCCTATTTTTCCTAAGCTTCCCAAATGAACTGACGAGGGCCAAATTTTGCCATCATAGGTTCTCGGTATATGTCTCCCATTGGCATAAGGGGGAGTTGGGTGCATGCATGAGGGCAGAATTTGACCCTAAAAAGCTCATCTGCTTAGATATCCTTTCTGAAAGCGTATGTAATAAATCCTGTTCTAACCAGTGGCGGGGCTAATCTTTTAAGCAGTGCCATTCAGACCCCAAACACAGCTTTCAGAAATTGAGAGAGATGTTTTGAACCTGCAGAAGTCTCATTTAACTACTGGTTAGAGCATGTAAATTTCTTACTCTGGTATTTTGTTCATGTTTGTTTAGGCTCGAAAAGATCCAGAAGAGAAGCTAACCATTTCGACTACCAAGACCAGTTCAAACACAACAGAAAAACATAAACAGTCTCAAAAAGGTAACGCTAGCATACAGAAAACCTTAGCACTCACTAATCTATAATATGAAGAGGTTCTCCTGTTAACACACATTTTTTTCCCCCTCTCTTTTTCCGGGGAAAACGTCAAACTCAACAGATGACACAAGAAATTGTAGTGCGAAGGAACAAACTAAATCTGAAAGTACAAGACCATCTTGTCTGCATCCAGAAACGTCTGTTGGTAAAGCCGTGGAGTCAGAGAATAAGACTTTGCCTTTGAAACCTAGCTCTAAGCTGGTGGCTCTGAAACAAAAAGAAGAGAGCAGTAAAAAGGAGAGAGAGATACTCAGTGCAGTGACAAAAGAAAAAATCATTTCAGGAAAGGAAGAGACGAGAACGCCAAAGAAACAGAAAGTTTCTCCCCAAAAGCCTGAGGTAGGGACCTCTCATGAGGAGTTAACTAGGGCTTGGTGCTGACACAAGGATATGAAGGGTTTGTTTTTTCTTTTTACCGTCCTCCTCATCTAACTATTGTTGCTGGGCAATATGTTTGCCTTCGAGTCTCCTGGAGAACTTCTAATTTCAGGAAGTCAAATTTCTAGTGAGGTTTTAATAAGTGTGTCAAAGGCAAGAAAAAAATTAGCTGGAGGAATATTGATAAAATGAGGCTAGGAATTAACCGATCTAATTAACAAGCACTTGTTAAAGGGCATACATACACAGAAAGATCACATTAAAAAGTTCTGTGGGAAGAAAGCAATTATCTGAATAGCTACATAGTGCGGAAATTGGGGGTGAGGGGGAGTTGGTGGTGAATGAGGGCTTTCTTTGTTCCCACAGAGATCCCAGAAGTGGATGGCTTTTTGAATCTTTGGTATGGAAATATATTGTTAACAGAAAACAACTAATGTTAATTACTTTATCTCCTAGACACCTAGACTTTATTATTTATGATGTGCTTGGTGCTATACATGATACAGATATGAAGATTGTTCTTGCTGCATTCTCGATGACAGGATGCACTAGGTGATACAGGAAGAAGTTCATTTAGATTACATGTTAATAACTATATAAGAAATGCAGACTTAAGCACAGCATAGTCAGCTTTTCAACAATTCCCACCTTTCTTGTTTTTAATCCTAGACACTGAAATGTCAGAAGCATCTGCTAATCTTAAATTACCAATAGTTAAATGTTGATTTGAGAAATGATTCTGAAGAGCATTTCCCACCTCCCTACCCCCAGCAGCTGAAAATGGCAAATACTATCTCTAAAGTTTTACATGCTTAACCAAAATCATCCCCTGTGTTTCTGCAGAGAAATAGACAATATTGCATTTATGAGGAGAAAGGCCTCGATTCTCTAATAGGTCTTTTTTAACTTCTTATTTTTTTATGAATAAAAGGCTGACGCATCTGAAGCATAGCAAAATATGTTGGTCGTATGTATCAATTTAGGGCATCTCTACACGTGAAAATTATTCTGGATTAAGATAGGGTATGAGTTTTAAGTGAATAGTTATTCCCTAATAACTCCATGTCTGGACAAGCCCTAACATAAACAGTGAATTACTTTTCACACATTTAAAGAGGTGTGCTGCAGTACTGTAGAGTTATTTTCCTTTTGTAAAGAGCAGTGTTGCTGCTAGTTACATGTCAGCATTTAAAAATAAGCGCTAGGGTTTGCTTCTCCTTTAAAGTGCAAAAAGCTATTTGGAAACTTTAAAGAAAGTAGAGCCTGAGTTTGATTGTTTCCTTGCTTATAGTAAATTTCTTCTTTCAAAGTCTATCAGTCCTGAGGACTCTGAAAAGAAACGAGTCAACTACCAGGCATATCGAAGCTTCCTTAATCGAGAGGGTCCAAAAGCACTAGGTTCCAAAGAGATACCACAAGTAAGTCCCAGTTTGGCTGTAGAAGAATTACAGCATTTTGTGTGTGTAATATTGATGTATATCAAGGGCCTCCAGATATAAATTACCTAAGACAAGACCCAATTAAGAAATACTTTGAGAATAGATTTCTAATCTATAAAATATGCACTTCTAATCTAAAAAACTGCAATTTTTGTGGTGTTGAAAAATGCTTGTGAAAATGGCTTGTTGGGTTCTACAATTTTCTCATGCTGAGCTCATTTCCAGGACTGCAGGATTTTGGAGCGAGCCAATTGTTTTGATCCAAGAAAAACAGACTGATTTTTTTTTTAAAGTCCCTACAAAATAAAAGCAATACCTTTTTTATGTAAAAATAAACAGCACAAATTAAGAAACCTTAATGTCAGAGACTAGAAACCCTTCGTATAATATTTGATTTATATATTGATTTTTGATGTTTATAGTGGAAAACGATTGCGCTGCTGTTTGAAGAAAGTGACTGCCAGTGGTTTGCAGTGCTTGAAGCACAGGATGTTGATGCCTATAGCAATAGAATTTACCCACTCAATTTTAGCTAAAAGTGCCAAGCAGTTCTGACTCTGACTATCCATTTGATTGTTTATGGCTGCTTACAGTCTCAGCTAACAAAACAGTATTTGACAATCCAAGGTATTGAAGAAATCATTTTTGTAATGGGGAGACATTTTGTTGTAAGTGCATCAAGTGATACTGCTTACTGTAATATTTGATTCTTAGGGAGGTGAAAACTGCTTGGAGGGTCTGACGTTCGTAATTACAGGAGTCCTGGAGTCTATTGAACGAGACGAGGCCAAGTCTTTAATTGAGCGTTATGGAGGAAAAGTGACTGGTAATGTGAGCAAGAAGACAAACTATCTCATTATGGGACGTGACTGTGGCCAGTCTAAATGTGAGAAGGTAAGTGCTGCTATGCATGATCCAAGAATGAAATACACACATTAATTCACTCATAGACTTTAAGGTCAGAAGGGACCATCAGGATCATCTAGTCTGACCTCCTGCACATTGCAGGCCACAGAACCTCGTCCATCAACTCCTTTTAATAAACCTATAACTTCTAGCTGAGTTACTGAAGTCCTCAAATCATGATCTAAAGACTTCAGGTTACAAAGAATTCATCATTTACAATAACTTAAACCTGCAAGTGACCTGTGCCCCATACCCCAGAGGAAGATGAAAACCCCTGGGTCTCTGTCAATCTGACCCAGGGGAAAATTTCTTCTCAACCTCAAATATGGTGATCGGTTGGACCCTGAGCATCTTGGCAATACCCAACAGCCAGACACCACCTGGGAAAGAATTCTCTGTAGTAACTTAGAGCCCTTCCCATCTAGTGTCCCATCATTGGCCATTGGGGATATTTGCTACTAGCAGTTGCAGATCAGCTACATGCCATTGTAGGCGGTCTCATCATAGCATCTCCTCCATAAACTTATCGAGTTCAGTTGTGAGGCCTGTTAGGTTTTTGCCCCCACTGCTTCCCTTGGAAGGCAGTTTCAGAACTTCACTCCTCTGATGGTTAGAAACCTTCGTCTAATTTCAAGCCTAAACTTGTTGATGGTGAGCTTATATCCAGTTGTTCTTGTGTCAACATTGATGCTTAACTTTAAATAACTCCTCTCCCTTCCAAAACATTGTACCCATATGTAAATTTACTATCATTACATCTCCCTTCCAAAACCAGACAATTCTCCCAAAAATGCATATTCTAAGGGGGGGGGGGAATGAAATATTAAGTAATTTTTCTAAAAGAGAAAATGGTGTTTGTTAATAGATTTTTTTTTTGTATTACTAATTTCAGATAGTGCCTCAGTTATGACTTAAAGATAACACTGACTTCCTTATTTTTCTACCAGTAGCATCAATTTTTACAGTAGTTTTGAGGGCTCAGCCATACTCACATATGTACAGACAGTATATCTGATGTAGTGCACTCTCTTCTATATGTGAGACCAGAATTAGGCCCAAAGTTGACAGCAGTGCTAAATTACAGTGGTGCTTCTGTTACATTACATAAAACAAATGTACATACAACACAGCATTAATATTAAAGGATTCAGACATGATTAAATATCTTTACAATCAGTACTGAAAACATTCAATGAGCAATAAGACATGAGTCTAGGATAGTTCTGATTAATGTGTACTGAAGGTGTGTGGTCAGATGAGAAATGAATCTGAAGGTGTAAATTAATCAGCCCCATCAGATTGTTCTCTGAAGTGTCTTATTGCTACTTGGAATGGATATTCAAAAGTTAATTTCTAGGAAAATTTAAAATTAAAAAAACCTTCCAGGTATGTAAATTAGTTTCAGGTAATTTTTTTTCAAATGTCACCATTCTATAATCTGACTATAAATCATTTAAATATCTTACTGTAATATACAATGTTTTTGTTTTTATATTACTGCTAGAAACAACCACACATACCCTAAACTCCCCCCCTCCTGTCTCATTTGTGTCAATTATAGGCTATATGTTTGGTATTAATTTTGTTTTTAAAATTGTAACTGTGATGTGAATAGACACTTATTATACAGCTTTTTAACATTGCTTGTGTTTCCAAACTTAATAATTACATACATAATTCACTTCTGTAAAGCAGTTTAAGTGCAATTGAGCTAATCTTAATTATTCTTTCTGGTCTAGGCATCAACATTAGGGACAAAAATTATTCATGAGGATGGCCTATTTGATCTGATTCGAACTATGCCAGGAAAAAAGTCCAAATATGAATTAGCAGCTGAAGCCGAGGTTTGTACGAAATAAACTTAATTTATTTCTTAAAGCACTGTCAGCTAGTATGGTGTGTGTGTGTGTGTGTTTGTCTGCCCGTCCATCCGTCGGCAGTTTCAGACTGACTTTATGTAGTCAGACACTCTTCCATCACTCTGACTTCTCTTTGGGAGTTTTGTATTGTGGAAAAGAAGACTTCTTTTTATTCACTTTTGCTTTGGTTTTCAGTTTTATTTTTTTTTTTAACCTATTTAATACACTCTCACACTCCCTCTAGTGCAGCTGCCTATCTGAGGAATGAGTATATTCAGGGGAAATCAAATAAATTTAATAAATTTTTCTAATTGTTTATCCTTTAAAATGTAATAGCTCTAGCAAATCTATACAATTATTTTACATTTGTTGCTGTCTAATTGAAGATGATTGATACTGTACGATATCAAGGCCATAATTCAAATCTGAGACCCTATTGCAAATTTAGGGTAATTAAGTGCAAATTGCATATGATAAATTTAGCATTTATTTGTGCTGTTACATTGTAACTCCTCTGTGCAAACATTAAGTAATCTTAATCTAAATAAACTAATGTTGATGAATGCTATAAAATTTATTTTACGGTGTGGTTAAGCTCAGTCTACAATGACCAGGCAAACAGTAT